AAAAAAATCATGAATTGATAGAGATTTTTATTTAAGGTTATCCAATCCCCAGCCAGGAAGGATAACTCTTTAATTTTCAATTAATTTAAAAAGTCTCAAAATGAACTCAAAATTGGAATCTTTTCATGCAACAATTTTCATTTTATGCATCTCAACGTGCTTCAAAGTTCTTTCAAGTTCCATCTCCTATCAGCACTGGAACATATTTATATTAAATACTGTAAAATCACATATTTTCTTGGTTTGAGGAAAACTTGTTGGTTTGTTGGGATTTGAATTCATGGATGAAGAACGTTCTAGTAGTTCTGCATGTGAAAATTAATAATTTACATTCCGTGGTGGGCATAAATTTATGGGTCTCTTCATACCTCGAAAACAACGAAAATTAAACCCCTTCGAAAATTAGTGATTTCACAGTATTTCACCTGATGTTTTTGAATTTGAGAGCCTCTTCTTCATCTGTTACCATGATCAGTGTCTTCAGGACCTCTTTCCGTTCGTAAAAAGGATACAAACCGGCAGCATTTGCTGTGTATCCCGAAGCACAGGTATTCAAAGCTAGCTGTAACACCTAAAGTAAACAAATACAAGTACCAATATTAATTATAATTATGTTCAACACAATTTTGAACTTTTTCTTATTCCCTGCATAATTTTTTAGTTCCAATAACTGGCGGACATTTGAGCTATTCTGTCATGCCTTGTTATGCTGTACACCTTTCTGAATCCTATTTTGAGGAAATATCAGCTGGAGAGAAGTTTTCTTTTTAAAAAATACAAGGATTTTCATTTGATATCTGTTCAAAACTCCTGGTTGTGTATGCCGTTTTTTTTTTTTTTTTTTTTTTTTTTTTTTTTTTTGCTCGTCTGAGCTGAAAGCTCATTGAAATACATGCATGGATATAGGAAAAAATCTTTTTCTCAAGAAACACTGAGCCAGAAAAGCTGAAACTCATATGAAACCATAATGGAGTAGTGTAGATTCTAAATTATCAAATCATGACCCCTGGCCCTTGGGGTGGGGTGAGACCACAGAAGGGAATCTAATTTTTACATTGAAATATGTAGAAAAAATCATCTTCTCAAGACACTGGGTCACAAACGCTCAGAAACTAATGTGGAAGCATCCTGAAGTGTAGATTCTAAATTTATTTTGTTTAAATCATAAACCTATGGTAGGATGGTGCCAAAATAGGAAATCTGTTTTACATTGAAATACATGTATGTACAAGAATTAATCTTTAGAAATCCTCTTCTCAGGAAACACTGGGCCAGATCTCGAGATGCTGAAACTTATGTGGAAGCATGCTGGGGTAGTGTAGATTCTAAATTGTTTGAATCATGATCCCTGGGGGTGGGATGAAACCACAATAGGCATTTCAAGGGGAAAATCGTGTTAAAGTTAACACGATTCATAAAAGGAATGTGTCCGCCATTTTGTTCGGATTCTTGCTATATCTGCAGACCTCTATGTAAAGGGCAGGACTTAGTCACTGTTTAGTGTAATCAGTAATAGAAAATTTCTAGGGGGGATGCTTACTCCTCCATGGCACCTGATCCACTTCTTATGTTGTAGAGGTCTGTGATTGCTCTGCTGATTGTATTGTTTCAATGGACTTTTGAGATTAAATACTGTTTGTTGTCTTCAAATTTCATTTACTTTAAATTTTTGCAAACTTTCCAATGCACTCAAAACTAAACACACATCAAAAAGCTCTATATATCATTTATACTTAAATTAAACGAAATTTCAAAGTTGTTAAATACAAACAAGATACCTCCTCGACATTTGTTGGTACTTTATCTGGCTCTTTGTGTTTGCCGTTAAAGAAGGAGAGTTTAGCGGAGGTTATAGCTGTCAGAATTCCCGCGATGATGGTACTGGTTTTAACTGCCACAGACATGGAATTGGAAGCGTCACCCATCACCAGGACTGGAGACTCAAGAGGAAGCCTATAAAATATATTTTTACAGTAAAACTCGGTTATAATGAAGTCACTAGGACAAATGAAATTAAGGAATTTGTTAAATTTATATAGCTGGGGATCCAAGATAACTTCCCTATATTCATGAATTCGCATTATCCATGTTCATACTAAACTAGTTTAACTGTTAACAAAACAGAGTACAAGATATTTAAAAACAGTAGGTGAAATAACACTTCTATCACATTAAGTCTCTTTCAAACATCTGTAAGGTAACTGATAGCCTACTTAATTTGTTTAAGCCTGTCCTCAGCGATCTTCAGAAGGTCTCCGTAGAACTTTGCCTTCCTGTCCTCATCAGAGCTGCCATCAAACAGCCTTTTGAATACTAGCAGTCTTTCCAGGAGTTTACCGATTGGTAAGGTCACGGGGTCACCATTTTCTAACCTCCTCTGTATCGCATCGTCTACTTCCTTGCATGCTAGTTCCTCATACCACCTATAACATATTGTAAACAAGATGAGTTTGTAAAACACTGATGCCTCCTTATGGCCGCTCATAGAGAAGGTTAAAAATTCTCAAATGCAAGTCTAACTCCAAAGGTCAAGGTAAATAAATCAAAATTGTTGGTACCCAATGTAGGGTCTTGTCATAAAGAAAACATATGTAAAATATGAAGCCCTAACACCAACTGTTCAAAAGATTTTGCCAAAGTTAAAGTTTTTCAAAAGTTGGTGAAACTCCAAGGTCAAGGGGTAAAATTGATGGCACTCAAGGGAAGGACTTGTCACAAGGACAATACCTCTGAAATATAAAAGCCCTAGCACCAACTGTTCAAAAGTTATGGTCAAGGTTGAAGTTTTTCAAAAGTAGGTCAAAGGTCAAGGTCAAGGGGTCATAAATGTTGGTATCCAAGGGAAGGTTTTGTCACATGGAATATACATGTGAGATATGAAAACCCTACCCAGAACCAAACATGCAAAAGTTATGGCCAAGTTAAGTTAGTTTTTGTGAAGTAGGTCTAATTCCAAATTTGCAAGGTCAAAAGGTAAAAAATATTTACTAAAGGGTTTCAAGGTCTTTCAAGGAATAAACACATGAAATATGAAAGCCCTTGTACCAACCATTCAAAAGTTATGGTCAAAGTGAAAGTATTGATCAAATTAGATCAATTGTCAAGGTCAAGAAATCAGAAATATTTGTACCATAATTATCATCACTTAACTAATCATCTGACTATTACTATAAAAACGGTGAATTTTGTATAAAATTTGACAATATTCTAAAAATGATGAACTAACCAGAGGATGGTGTCCAGTTTATCCTCCCGGTCTGCTATGTGGCCTTTGGAGGCGCTGGTCAACTTATCTTTTTTTTTTTTTTTTTTTTTTTTTTTTTTTTTTTTTTTTTTTATTTCCACAATTCAACTTTCAAATAGCAGTATATTTACATAATCATTGTGGATTTTTATTAAGCATTCACTGACTGATTCTTCCACCTCGCTCGTCCATTTCAGTATCACCTATTTATGAATTATACAAAAAAGATTATTCAATATACATATACATATATATGCATGTTTATATATTACACTGTGTTTACTATCACTATAAGTATATTTATAAAAAAGAGAGAAAAAAACAAACAAACAAAAGTAAAAGTTACAGTGTCCTTTTATGAATATCATATAAAGCTAATCATTTTCAAATAGATTGTCTAACAATTGCCATCTCTTTTTAAACTGGGTGTCATCCATATTTAATGCAAACAAGTATTTTTCAAAAGTATAGTATTTACATATTACATTTTTAACTTCGTTGAATATCAAAGGTTTACAATTTCTAGATTTTTGGTAAACATACTGTTTTACAAGCAATATAATGGCATTTAAGGATGTGTTTTCTTTGCCAGAAATACCTAATATAACAGATATTGGGTCTAAGTTAAAAAAATTTCCAGTTTTTTGTAAAATCCATTCTTCTAAACAATCCCATATTCCCTTAACAGGAAGACAGTAATAAAAAAGATGCTTCAAAGTTTCCTGCTCAAGATTACAGACAGAGCACAATGGATTATCTTTAATTTTAGATAAAAACAACAATTTACAGGTTCCAAGAATTCTATGTATGATCTTATAATTAAACCATTTGAGATTTGAATCTTTACTTATGTATTTCAAGTTTGTAAAAAGATCTCTCCAATTAAAGTCAATCTGCAAACCTAAATCTCTTGTCCATTTTGTAACACATACAGGTTGGTTATAACTCTTAGATAAAAAGAAATTGTATAATGATTTACACCCGGAATCATCACGACAAAGGACCTGAATATGTGTAGGAATGTATATTCCTATAGCTGATGTTCTACATTGTTTAATTTCAGGCCATTTTTTAAAAATGGAAAGTCTACATTGTTTAATTTCAGGCCATTTTTTAAAAATGGAAAGTCTAAGCCCTTCATAATTAGTAAATGGGATTAAAACATCATAATTAATGGATATGCAATTAAAGGATAACAAATTACCTTCAGTATCAAATAGATCAGACACAATATGAAAACCTTTTGCATATAACTGTTTGTAAAAAACTGATTTACTTTGTACTCTGATACTACTGTTAAACCATAAAGGTTCTTTCAAGACCTGAAGAATATTTTCAGGTTCAAATAAATTAATAAATTCATTATAGTCAGAAAGGACTTCTTTCCAAAACATGTTATTTGTTGTTTTACTAAAATATAAGGTATATTCTGATCCGAACTGTAAAAGTTTTGTAATATTACAGCCTGTAGATTCCATAAATATTCTAGACCATGTAGAATCCGTAAGTATTAACATCCTGATCCAAGTGAGCTTAAGTGCCTTAATAAATGTTGGCAAATGTGGCATTCTAAGGCCACCATCATCATAATCTAAAATCATTATATTTCGAGCTATTTTATCATTTTTATTGTTCCATACAAACTTAGAAAAAGATTTCTCAAGGTTTTTCATGGTTTCATCACATGGTTTTGCAAAGTTAACAGTAAATGTGTAATTTTTGAAAGCAAAAGAGATTTTATAACTGTAATTTTACCCAAAGGTGTTATATGTCTTTTTTCCCAGTGGCTCATTTCTTTGTTTATATCATTAATTCTGTTAATAAAATTTATCTTTTCTATATTGTTAAGACTGGCATTAAATGTTATTCCCAATATTGTAAAGTTCTCAGATGTCCACTCTAAATTATATTCCTTGCACCAATTGTCATTACAATTAATTTTTGAACCAATCCATATGGCTTTTGTCTTAGATAGATTAGGCTTTAAACCCGAAAAATTAGCAAACTGGAAAAGAAGATCTAGTGCACTCTTCAAACTTTTTTCAGACCCATCCAAAAATATAACAGTATCGTCTGCATATTGTAATAAGCAGACTGTTTCTTTGCCAATTTTTATACCCTTTATATTTTTATTTTGTCTTATAAGGTGACCCATTATCTCGACACAAAGATTAAAAATATATGGTGAGACAGGGTCTCCTTGACGACACCCTCTACCTATGCAAAAGAATCTGGAAAAAATACCATTCTGCAAAACACATAATGTGGCATTTTTATATAAAACTGAAATCCATCTAATAAAGTCACGACCAAAGTTAAAATATTCAAAAGTTTTGTACATAAATCTCCAGGAAATAGTGTCAAAAGCTTTCTCAAAATCTATAAGTAACATCATCCCTGGGATTTGTTTTTCTTTTGTGGTATGTAGAACATCATAAATAAGTCGAGTATTTTCGCCTATGAATCTTCCTTTCAAAAACCCCTTTTGGTTCTCATGTATTAAATACTCTAAAACACTCTTAAGTCTATTTCCAATACATGCTGATATAATTTTGTATGTAACATTGAGGAGAGAGATAGGTCTCCAGTTTTTTAAAAATTCCCTTGGCTTTTCACCTTTAGGTGATATAGATAAAATTCCTTGTTTCTGTGTATTAGATAATTCTCCTTTCAAAAAACCAAAGTTTATAGATTGAAGTATAAAATCACCAATATCCTTCCAAAAAAATATAAAGAACTCTACGTTAAAGCCATCACTGCCTGGACTTTTATCATTTTTCATATTTTTCAATGCAAGTGATGCTTCTTCCTTGGTTATCAGACCTTCTAATTTGGAAGCTGACTCCTCATTTAAAATGTGAATGTTGTCCTTAATTAGTAAATTGTTTAAATTTATATCTAGTAAAGTATTATCACAGGATGTGTATAAATTATGATAAAAATTTTCAATTTCTTCAAGAATTTCTTGTTGCGAGGTTATTGTTAAACCATTTTCATTAATTAATTTTGTTACTGTTTTATTGATGTAATTTCTTTTTTCTAGACTCAAGAAATATTTCGTAGGTTTCTCACCATATTCTACCCATTTAGCTTTTGTTCTTACAAACAGACCATTTATATAATACTTTCTAAGTTCTTCCAATTTAGATTTTGCCGTAGAAAGTTTTTCTTCAGTTTCGTTAGAATCGTTAAAATTTCTGATGATTTCTAATTCTTGTATTTCTTCTTCTAAAAGATTTACTTCTCGGTCTCTTTCCTTTTTCTTTCTAGAACAATACTTTATAGTGGTACCTCTAATCTCAAGTAGTAGCATTTCTAGGAATAATTGATCATCAATTATAAAATTAATTTCTGTGTTTTCGATGTCCTTAATCATTACACGATTATATGGTGTAACTGCATACTGAAGTTTAATCCTATTTATTGTGTCTTTAACTAAACTTATATAGTTTTTATCTTTTAGGAGAGAGTTATTAAACTTCCAGAACCCTTTACCCATCTTAAACTTTGAAAATAAAATATGAAGTTCCATAATTGAGTGATCAGTTCTGTACCCAGACTCTATATCAATCTTATCTATAAAGGCCATTAATTCATTTGATATCAGAAAGTAGTCAAGTCTGGCCTTTTTTGTTGGATTGCTTTTAAACCAAGTGTATCTTTTAGTATTATTATATTTAGTCCTCCAGGGGTCACATAAACCTTGGGTTTCTTTCAACTGAAGCAGGGTCTCTCTTGCTTTAGAGTTATTGATGTTGCGATAATTATAGCAATCTAGAGTAAAGTCTTGCATTAAATTAAAATCTCCTCCCATTAACACAAATTCACCCTGGAAATTCTCAATTTTATCTCTGATCAGATTATAAAAATCAGGCTGATCTGTATTAGGTCCATACAAATTTATCAATAAAAAATCATATTTTTTTTTTTGTTAGGTTAACTTCTAAAATAATCAGATTACCTGTTTCATCTATATATTTATTTGTTACCTTATATTCAATATTATTATTAAAGAGTATTGCCGTTCCTCTGGCATCTGATCTACCAGGAAGGCTGATATATACATCAAATCCCCATAATGATCTAACAAGGTTTATGTCATTTTCAGTAAAGTGGGTATCTTGAAGAAAATATATAGAAAATTGTTTTTGTTTTAAATAATTAAGAACGTCTCTCCGTTTCTCTATTCCACCCCCCCCGTAAGCCCTCTACAATTTTCATTAGGGACAACACTCAAAAGACTTCATTGATCGAAGATATTTACATGTATGTCAATGGACGACTGTACAGTGAAAGCGCAGAACTTAAAAAAAAATATGTACGTATAAGTATTGAAATTTGGTGATACTGATTTTGTAGGTAACACACTCACAACTTAAACACATATTTACACACCAAAAGAAACAAACAAAAAATGTCAAGTAAGTCCCGTTGCAAACTGCTGGACGTAAACAATGCGTTCTTCGGAATACCGATCCCGAGATGTCAAGGCACTGAGCTCGATCCCAATGCATTTAGTGTCTTGCATGTGCTACTTTCATGGAACCTAAAAAAATCACGATCTGAGTATTTTGTTGATATCATCAAAAATATCAAATGTGTGGCGTCTATTGTTTTTATCCAGGGCAAACACTTTACTGTTGAAGTACCAGGCGGAATGCACTAATTCGTGTTCCTTTAGTGTCTGTATGAGTTTGGCATTCAGTTGAGTGATATGATCCACCATTACGAATTCATCTTTCATTGCCTTACGATGTTTGATAATGGCTGTTTTGGCCTCGGTACTGATCATCCGCACTATGATCGGTTGTCGGGATCCTCCACTCCGATTTCCGGGGACTCGGTGCATTGCAAGGATGTCCTTAGGGTCCACATCAAGATCAACTTTTTGTTTTAGAATTGTGCAAAAGTCCCTTTTAAGATTTTCCTTCTGCTGTTCAGGCCACCCAAGTATTTTGATATTACATTTTTGAGAATATTGTTGGTTAAAGTTCGCCATTGATATCGCTTGTTGAGCGTTCCTTGACGCTACAGCATAGGTCATTTTCAGTTTCTGTAACTCTCTTTTATCTTTTGCGATTTTCTCTCGAACATCATTCAGATTTAAATTCAAGGCATCGAATTTTTCTGTATTGTCAATGTTAGCCCTCATCATTTTTTCATCAACGTTCTTGTGAGTGAATTTTTCTATCTCGGCTCTAATTTCATTTTTGATTTCCTTTTTTATTTCATCTTTAAGGTAGGTCTGTACTTTCAGAATTTTCTGTCAAACTGTTAATTTTTCGATAAACTTCCAGAACCCTTTACCCATCTTAAACTCTGTTGAAAATCTTGAATAAGTCATAATCTAACTAAAACACCCATAAAATACATATCTTTGCAGGTTAATTTTCATGCGACATGTCTCGGAGTATATACCTCTAAAAATTCAGCAACCAAAATTCAACATATAGAAGTGAAACATCATATTTTATTTAGTTATGTACCAAATCACATTCAGCTATAGTTAAAACTTAGGAAAATCATAAATATTCATTTGTCAAGAAAATATTTGAAATTTCTATTTGAAAACACTAAAAAATTTATGCTGATTCTGTCAAAATCTTTCAGTCTGAGAAAAAAAGCTCAAAATATCTTTATTTTAAATATTCCTCAAAGTCTTATATGTTTATATGCTATTTTTTCTTTACAATTATTTAGAATTATATCTAAGGTTAGCAAAAAAACATACTTTATTGTGGTTGACCTGAAAAATTTTACAAAACAGCCTTTTAAACACCTATACCCCCATTTTTAGAATATCTATTTTTTCAATCGTTCTTCGCAAAACTTATAAAAAGGTAAATTTAAAAGGATGATATAGGCTAAAAAATAAAGATAAATAGATCTCAAGTTAGTTTGTTTATAAAAAAATTAAAAAGCTTTAGGTCCATAAAGGCAATTAAGAATTCTCTGTCTGTGTATGTACTAAATTACATATAGATCCTATGGACAAAGTACAAAGTGGTTATTCCTATAAATAATGTAAATTAAATGCTTTGTGTGCACAATGACACTATAATAAACAAATATATACTTGTTGAGCTTCCTTGACGCTACATTATTTTCAATCTCTTTTATCTTTTGCTAAAGATTTTATTTCAATAGACAAGGATAATCAAAATTTTATATTGGTGTGTAAAATTAAAATTTTTCTATCTCGGCCTAATTTCAGTTTTGATTTCCTTTTTTAATTGCAATCTTGATTTCTTTAACAAATTCACCTTTCAGCTCTGACAAAATATTTTTCACAATCTCACCAATATCATCTTTTGTAACCATCCCTTGCTTTATTTCGTCCAGACTTTCTTGAATTGAATGTAGGTCATTTTCACCGTCTGGGGCACCTGCGGGGATTTGGTCGGAACTGCTTAATCGGGGCTTTTTTGTAGCTTTTTTATCAGACACTACAGTGTTTTTAACAGAATTAGATGCCGATTTTATGTTCAGTTGAATGAATTTTTTCTTTTTATTGTCTTTACCACTGTCTTTACCACTAGCTGGTGGTGTTGTCGAGGGGCTAGTAACATTACTCGCCATGCTTGCATGCGTGAACACTACTTGACTCACGGTGAAGTCAAAAAGAATACACTAGGAATTTCTATATTAAATTGCAAAATAAGCCACTGACGACTCACCGTGCATTGTCCACGCCAACCACCCGCTTTTGTAAATCAAATAAACACTGATATATAACGATATACACTATAATAGTTCCACTCAGCAGTGCTCGTGAAAAAAAGCGTCCTACGCCATGTCTTGTCACGTGACTCTTCGGTCAGCTTATCTTTATGTGATTTCACGGACAGATAAGGAATAGACAGGTCCTCCAGCATTTCATTCACGTTCTCTGCTGTCATTGTCACCATACGACCCACAGTGGTCTCAGGTGGCGCCCCCTGTCCATAGCAGTAAGGAAGGAACCACTCCAGAGAGGGAAAATCCTAGAGAAAGAGTACAATATTGAAGAAAATTAATTGTCTTTTACAATGATGGGACCGAGGAAAAAATCAAGAAAGAAAAAAGATGCATGTAATACCTTCTGTGGATGAAAGTGGCAGATGTCTGCTAGCTTCTTCCAGGGATCTTTGGGAAAATGAATGGCATAAAACTCTAGTTCTTTTGCAGTAAAATGCTGGACCCACCTCCTGATGTGTTTGCAGACAGCACCACTAGCAGACCCATACTGTTAGAAAACTCATAAATGTTTGATTCATTGTGTATATTTATTTTAACACCTAAGTGTAAACCTTGGGTAATTTCAGTTTTTATGTGATAGATATAGATAATTGGTCGTGTGTGCCAAATTACAGATTTTAACCAGATGTTAACTGAGGGAGGGATGTCTACTTACCGGTGATTTCATCCTATTGAGATTGCTGATGTCTGATTTGAGTTTCCCTATCGTTTTACGCTTAACCCTGTTTTTGGACACCTGCAGCATCTTCATCTTTTTTTCCAGCACCCTGGCCTGACGTCCAGCGTCCAGGAGCTGTAGAGATTTCAGGACTTCATTGAGACCAAAGTTTTCTCTGTTCTGTAGGAAAGACTCAGCCAACTGGAAATCTTTCCTCGCCCATGCCGCGGCAAGTGCTCGAATTCGAGCATCTGAAATATTAAGTTGTGTTATCGTTATCGCAGAGCAAGTCCTCAGGCACTTAAGACATTTCTGATTTTTCTTTTAGTAAAAATATGTATATATATATCCCCTACGTTATAATAAACAAGCTAATTCAGAGAATTCGTGTCCCCCGCTTAGGGAAAAAGTCGGATCCCCCTGACTGAATTTGTAGAATTTTTAAATGTATACATGTATACTGAAGCAAATAAAATACACGTATGTCAATATGCATATAAAGATTTGATTACTTATTCTTTACTATGTGTATAGGAGATTCTTTTTTATGGAATTTTATCACACTGTTATATGATGATTTTATAACCTCATAAATTTTTCATTTCACATGCTGAATACTATCAATTAGTAAAAAAAAAGAGAGAAAAGTATTTATAAAAAAAAAAAGAAAAAAGGATTGCCCAGGAAACGATCTCGGGACCTCTCACATGTAAAGCGAGAGACATTACCACTACACCACGGAATCGCTGTACACTGAGTGAAGTATATATGCAGAACTAAAGTCACATACATGTATATATTCATGTTCGGTATTCTCAAAATTTTACACAATCCATGGTGTTTGATTTATTTAGCCTTTATTAAACAGTTCCAATAGATGTAATAAGAACATAAAGTCTGCCGAGAACCTGTTTTATACGCAATAACTCTCCTCATGCCCCTGTGATAAAAATAGCGGCAGGTAATACTATAAATACTAATGAAACAAACGGGGCGGGGCACTTTGAGAGGGGTGAGAGAGGTCTTAGGGAGTTTTGGAATAAAATTACATTGCATAAGCTCAAAATCTTCTTGAAATATTGCCCGGAAATGATAGTGTTACACACAGACAGAATGTTTAAATTTACGACCTTGAACTTTGACCTTTTGACCTCAAAATCAATAGGGGTCTTCATTAGGCCACAGGGGGTTGTTATGTAAAATTTCATTGCAACAGCTCAAATGGTTCTAGAGATATCGTGTGGAAACGAAAGTGTTATAACAGACAGAATTTGCTTATTTATGACCTTGACCTCAAAATCAATAGGGGTCTTCTTTATTCCATAGGGAGTTGCTATGCTAAATTTCATTGCAAAAGTTCAAAGGGTTCTCGAGATATCGTGTGGAAACGAAAGCGTTACAGACAGACAGAAAGACTGACGGACGGACGGACAAACCCAAATTAATATCCCCCACTTTTCAAGCGGGGGACAATAATCATTATTAGGTAGGGGTTATATTTTTTATTACAAGAAAAATAAGTAACGTCTAGTGTCTGTGAGCAAGTCCTCTTGAAAGTCTACGACATATCACAATAATTGGATAAAATACAATTAGAGTTTGATTTTTTTTTCTGTAATTTCTACATGGATTTTCCAAATATATAGCACATTTTTCGCAAGGGGATGTTTTAAATGGCATACATCAATAAGTAATTATACAGGCGTCGGAGGGGGGGGGGGGGGGTTGGGGGGCTCCCCCCCCCCCCACACACTTATTGCATAGACATATATAGTGTAATGTATAGGCCTTTGAGTTATCGTTTTATTTATTACTTCCCTTTGGAGCACTTGTAAATACTGTTTACAGAGTATGCGCTATTGGTTTTATTTTGTATGCTGATGTTGCTGATAATTCAGAGATTACATACCTAATTAAATTGTATTAAATACAAATTAACCTTATAACAAGGATGATTGGAGATCGTTGGTGACCGTTGGTGATTATAGGTAACGGCATTTGTGCACGTGTTGGTGATTTGGTGATTATGAAAACCTCAATAAAATAGCGCTATCTCAATTCTGTAAACAGATCATACCTGTATACGATAACTGGGTTCTTTTCATATTTAATTTGGTTGTTAAACATCGCTGGCATCCCACACAAATGCATATTCTCCCCTAAAATTACTTCTCCATACGCCTTGTAAACATTGGTAACTAGAAACTTCCGGTTATGGGGATTTGGTAAAGTCACCAAACTCGGTGACGTCAACTTGCGCACTACGTCATTATTTACATTGGTGACACAAGAGAGTATATAAGCAGGCGTTACGGAGTCAGAGCAGTTAGATGTCAGATAGATAGAGAGAGCAGTCAGATAGAAAGAGCAGTTATTAGATAAAGCGGAATAGCAGAATGTAAGTTTGGGCAACAGTTATACAGACAC